CTGCCCCAGAGAGGAGGAAGGGGGTCAAGCTATTTTCCAAAGCAAAAGAAAGAACGAAAAGAGAGAGAGAGAGAGAGAGAGAGAGAGAGAGAGAGAGAGAGAGAAAGAAAGAAAAAAGGAAGGAAGAAGGAAGGAAGGAAGGAAGGAAGGAAGGAAGGAAGGAAGGAAGGAAGGAAGGAAGGAAGGAAGGAAGGAAGGAAGATATCTGAGTGAACCATGGTTGGACAGAAGACATGGCTAGTCTAGGGAAGAGAAGGACCGGAGGAGACAGGAGAGCATCTTCCAATATTTGAGGGGCTGCCCCAGAGAGGAAGAAGGGGGTCAAGCTATTTTCCAAAGCAAAAGAAAGAACGAAAAGAGAGAGAGAGAGAGAGAGAGAGAGAAAGAAAGAAAGAAAAAAGGAAGGAAGGAAGGAAGGAAGGAAGGAAGGAAGGAAGGAAGGAAGGAAGGAAGGAAGGAAGGAAGGAAGGAAGGAAGATATCTGAGTGAACCATGGTTGGACAGAAGACATGGCAAGTCTAGTGAAGAGAAGGACCAGGGGAGACAGAAGAGCATCTTCCAATATTTGAGGGGCTGCCCCAGAGAGGAGGAAAGGGTCAAGCTATTCTCCAAAGCCCCCGAAGGCCAGACAAGGAACAATGGATGGAAACTGATCAAGGAGAGATTCAACTTGGAAATTAGAAGAATTTTTTTTTTCTGACAGAACAATCCACCAATGGAAAAACTTGCCTTCAGAAGTTGTGGGAGCTTCATCCCTGGAGGCTTTCAAGAAGAGACCGGACTGTCCTCTGTTGGAAATGGTGTAGGCTCTCCTGCTTGGGTGGGGGTTGGACTGGATGACCTCCAAGGTCCCATCCAACTCTATTATTCTATATTCAGTGGAACAGAAGTTGCCTTCGGAAGTTGTGGGAGCTTCATCCCTGGACCCTTTCAGGAAGAGACTGGGCTGCCATCTGTCAGAAATGGTGTAGGGTTTTCTGCTTGGGCAGGGGGTTGGACTAGATGACCTCCAAGGTCCCTTCCAACTCTGTTAAACTGTTAATCTGTAAACAGTTGTTGGAAGGGACCTCGGAGGTCTTCTAGTCCAACCCCTGTTCAGGCAGGATACCCTATATACCATTTCAGAAAAAATGGTGGCCCAATCTCTTCTTACAAAAGATTTGCACCCTATCCTAAGCTTCCTTCCCAAGCAAAAAAAAATCGGATCAAGGCAGGTTTAATTCGAATTAAAGTTAGGATGTCAGGCAAACCTATCGGCCGCGTCTAGCTCTTTCCTTAAATATGTCGTGCAAACAAAACCAATTTTTTTCCCCCCCTGCAAAACTGCAACGAAGGCCAAGCTCTGACGTTGCCCTCAAACCAGCCACAAAATAAATCATGATACGTAGCCAGAGATTCCCTGAAGTCGTATAAGTGAGACCAAATGTTGTTAGGAGTTTCAGGGCCAGGCTGACCCAGGGCTGATTTTCGTGGGCAAAGAGAAAGTCCTCGAAGAATTTATTTTATTTTTATTTATTTTTTAGATTTCTATACCGCCCTTCTCCTTTCGGACTCAGGGCGGTGAACAGCCAAAATAAAACATTTGTACACAAAAGTTTAAATAGATTTAAAATAATTAAATAAACTTTGTCCCATAATTTAAAACATTTCAGTTAAAATCAGTATCAGTTTTAAAAACCAACATATATTCTAACCAATTGATATTCTTCCTGCGTTAGAGGTAGTCCTCGACTTACAACAGTCCGTTTAGTGACCGGTCAAAGTTACAATGGCACTGAAAAAAGTGACTTACAACCGACTATTGCAGCATTCCCCCAGGGTCACGTGATCAAAATTCAGAACTCTTTGGCCACTGACTCGTATTTATGACGGTTGCAGCGTCCCCGGGGGTCACGCAATCCCCTCTTTGCGGCCTTCTGACGAGCAAAGCCAGACTCACTTAGCGACGGTGTTACGGACTTTAAGAACGGCAGCGAATGACTTAACAAACGTGGCGGGGAAAGTCGTCAAACGGGGCACCGAACAACCGTCTCGCTTAGCAACGGAAACATTGGGCTCCATTGTGGTCGTAAGTCGGAGGACTGCCTGGGTTTGAACGCTTGGCAGTGAATAAATAGAGAGGAAGTGGTGAGAAAACAGAGGGATTTCTAATGGAAAGAGAAGAACAAAAAAGAAAAGAAAAGAATAGAAGGGAAAGGGGGAAAGGAGGGAGGGAGGGAAGAAGGGAGGGAGGGAAGGAGAACTGAAGAGAATGGAAGGGAAAGGGAGAAAGAAGGGAGGGAGGTGGAAGGAAGGGAGGGAGAGGAAGAGAATAGAAAAGAGCAGAAGTAAAGGGAGAAAGGAGGGAGGGAGGAAAGAAGGGAGGGAGGGGAAGAGAACAGAAGAGATGGGAAGGGAAAGGAAGAAAAAAGGGAGGGAGGTGGAAGGAAGGAAGAGAGGGAGGGAAGGGAAGAGAATAGAAAAGAATAGAAGGGAAAGGGGGAAAGGGAGGAAGGGAGGAAGGTGGGAGGAAGGAAGAGAGGGAGGGAGGAAGGGAGGGAGGGGAAGAGAACAGAAGGGAAGGGGAAGGGAGAAAGAAGGGAGGGAGGGAGAAAGGAGGAAGGAAAGGAGGGAGGGAGGGGAAGAGAACAGAAAAGAATAGAAGGGAAAGGGGGAAAGGAGGGAGGGGGAACAGAAGAGATGGGAAGGGAAAGGGAGGAAGGTGGAAGGGAGGGAGGGAGGGAGGGGAAGAGAACAGAAGGGAAGGGAAAGGGAGAAAGAAGGAAAGGAGGAAGGAAAGAAGGGAGGGAATGAGAAGAGAATGGAAGGAAAAGGGGGAAAGAAGGAAAGGAGGAAGGAAAGAAAGGAGGGAATGAGAAGAGAATGGAAGGAAAAGGGGGAAAGGAGGGAGAAAGAAGGGGAAGGAAGGCAAGAAGACAAAAAAAGAGGAGAGAAGGACAGCCCCTGAGTCTTTCCTGAGCATCTACATGGGGGGAAATCACGGTCTCTTTATAAGCCGACATACAGCACAACCAGCATCAACTCCTCCCCTTCTCCACCCTGCGCTCTTCCAAGCGTGTTTGTCGTGCAATTCCCAGAAAACTCGGGATCTTGCAGCAGGAACAGTGTCGGCGTGACCCAGCCTGGGGAAGCCCCTCTCTTGTTTCTTCACACACACACACACACACACACACACACACACACACACACACACACACACGGACTTTGAGCTCAGCTTCCAGGAACTCAGGGGGGGTTGGGCAGCCTTCCCTTCCTCTACCTTTCCTGGCGGGTAACAGGTGAGGCAAGCGATGGGACCCTTCCAAAGTCAACACCGAGTGTGCAGGGCTGACGGCAACCTTGGACTCGGCCTTTCCCAGCTTCCAATCCGACACCTTTTGAAACGGCTTTGTCGGAAACGGTGTAGGGTCTCCTGCTTGGGTGTGGGGTTGGACTAGATGACCTACAGGGTCCCTTCCAACTCTGTCAATCTGTTGCTTTGCTGGGGAAAAGTTGCATCTTGTCCATCAACTTAATTCATTCCCCCCCCCCCCAGTTTTGAATAAATCGCTCCAAATTTCTGTTGATCAGCAATTCTTCATAGCCCGAACATCTTGAAGACGTATGGATTTCAATTCCCAGAATTCCCCAGCCAGCATAAAGCATAAAGCTGGTTGGGGAATTCTAGGAATTGAAGTCCACATATCTTAAAGCATAAAGCTGGCAGAACAGAACAGAACAGAACAGAATAGAATAGAATAACAGAGGTGGGAGGGACCTTGGAGGTCTTCTAGTCCAATCCCCTGCCCAGGCAGGAAACCCTACACCACTTCAGACAAAGGGTTATCCATCATCTTCTTAAGTCAAAGTCCACCCATCTTAAAGCATGCCGGCTGGGGAATTCTGGGAGTTGAAGTCCATCCATCTTAAAACATGCTGGCTGTGGGATTCTGGGAGCCAAAGTCCATGCATTTTAAAGCATGTTGGCTGGAGGAATTCTGGGAGTTGAGGTCCACACCCTCTCTTAAAGCATGCTAGCTGGGGGATTCTGGGAATCGAAGTCCATCCATTTTAAAACATGCTGGCTGGGGGATTCTGGGCCCCTCTTAAAGCAGGTTGGCTGGGGGATTCTGGGAGTGGAAGTCCTCCCACCTTCTAGTGCCAAGCCCGGGAAACCCTTCCCTGTGTTTCTTGCAGAAGCATCGCCACGTTCAGGCAGACCTCGTGCCCGCACACCGCACGCCCTTGAAACCATCTGCCCTGTTCGCCGCAGGGCCTGGAGTTTTGACAAGCAGCGCATTCCTCCCTCACACCCTTTGTGTGCAAAGAAAGCGCCAGAGACTGTCAGATCCTTTGGTCCTGGCGGAGGGGCAGCGAGGGAGAAGGGGGGAGTGTGCTGGTGCTGCTGATGCTGCTGGCAGATTTGTGTGTGTGTGTGTGTGTGTGTGTGTGTGTGTGTGTGTGTGTATGTGTGTGTGTGTGCGCAGAGCAAGGAAGGCGTGACCAGCATGGGGAATGCCTTGCACACCCAGCCACCCTCTCTGCCTTTCACTGCCTTTCTCTCCTCACTCCAAAGCTCTGAACAAAGATAAAGCAGCCAGCGTTGAGCATCGGACAGCGCACGGCGCACGGTGAGCATCTCCTGCTCTCCAGAGGCATCCGAGGACACCCACCCACCCCCCCAAAAAATAATAAAGGACACCCCCCAAGGGAGGAAGAAAAAAAAAAGCATGAGGTGAGTTGCTTTGCCGAAGGGGAGCGAGCGTGCAAGATTGCCAACCAAATTGTCTTTTGTGTGTGTGTGTGTGTGTGTGTGTGAGATGCCCCCTTGGTGTTTTTCCGGCAAAGGAGCCTTTCTTGGCAGGGAAGAAGGGCGATCAAAGCTGGAGAAAGACACCTGTCAGTTTGGCAGCTTGGTTCAGAAGAGGGCCAATGCTCCTTTTCTCTCTTTTTTTTCTTGGTTTTTTAAAAAATGTACCTGGCAGGATTTTAATTCGATTTGTTTATTTATTTATTTTCCTTTGCTGGGTGTGTGGATGGCAGGCGTCAAGAGATGGAAGGGTGAATTAAGGTGTGTGTGGGGGGGTCTTTTTGGATTAAAATTGTCTGTTCTGGGGTACACCCCCCACCCCCTTTCCACCCCAGGATCTGGTCTCTGGTGCCTTTTCAGAGGAAATGGGAATTTGTGAGATGGAAGGGGGAATTGCAACTAAAGATTTGGGGTCGTACATAAAGATTTGGGATTGTAAATAAAGATTTGGGATGGCAACGAAATATTTGGGATTGCAAATAAAGATTTGGGATTGTAAATAAAGATTTGGGATTGCAACTAAATATTTGGGATTGTAAATAAAGATTTGGGATTGCAACTAAAGATTTGGGATTGTAAATAAAGATTTGGGATTGCAACTAAAGATTTGGGATTGCAACTAAAGATTTGGGATTGCAACTAAAGATTTGGGATTGTACATAAAGATTTGGGATTGTAAATAAAGATTTGGGATTGTACATAAAGATTTGGGATTGCAACTAAAGATTTGGGATTGTAAATAAAGATTTGGGATTGTACATAAAGATTTGGGATTGCAACTAAAGATTTGGGATTGCAAATAAAGATTTGGGATTGTACATAAAGATTTGGGATTGCAACTAAAGATTTGGGATTGTAAATAAAGATTTGGGATTGTAACTAAAGATTTGGGGGATTGTAAATAAAGATTTGGGATTGTAAATAAAGATTGGCATACAGGACTGATCTCTGGAGACGCTAAAGACCACAAAGAGCTGAGTGGAGAAAGAAACGGGAAAAAAAAAATCTAGTAGCTTTCTTGATTTCTTCCTGGGATCTCGGGGGTTTTTTTAATAAAAAAGTGGCTTTTGGCAGAAGGATTGCAAGTTCTCCAAACAACGGGGCCCTTCTGGTTATCGGAAGGACTTTGTTTATTTACTTTTTGCCTCTGCCTTCGCCCCGCGCTAATCAAGTTTGCAACTGGCTTGTTTCGCAAGATTGGGAATTTAATCCAACTGGTAGAAACAGTTTGCGGATAGGAAGGTTGCGCTCAAAAGTCGCAAGGTTTGGAGCTACCCAGAGCTCGGTCGAGGGAGAAGGGCAGGCTTGAGGGTTGCACAGAACTCCTGTCCTCCTCATTAGGAATTGCAGGGGGAGAAAGGAAGAGAGCAAAATTGTCATTAAAGACTCTTATTTGGTGGGCCGTTGGAAGGCTGGAAGTCAATTGTAGCCTCTACTATTTATTTTGCTTGCAGCAAGGGTGACCAACCTTGCTATACCTGAAGAATACCGGCCCGTTTTATAGAGCTGGGCCCAGAGGACCTGGATATTTGAAAAAGGGGAATTTCTAATTGTATACACCTCAGTCCCAAACGTACGTTGCAACCAGAGAGCTAAAAACTCAGCTGCTGATCTCCAGCAAGAGTCTCCTGAGGGCAATGGGGTCAAAAAAGTCAAAATGGCGGCAGGGACAGAGCACTCTTGTCCTGTCCCATTTTTTAAGTATCAGGCTAGAAATCAGGAGACCGTGAGTTCTAGTCCCACCTTAGCCATAAAAGTCAGCTGGGAGACTTTGAGCCAATCACCAGGAGACGGTGAGTTCTAGTCCCACCTTAGCCATAAAAGCCAGCTGGGTGATTTCAAGCCAATCACCAGGAGACGGTGAGTTCTAGTCCCGCCTTAGCCATAAAAGCCAGCTGGGAGACTTTGAGCCAATCACCAGGAGACGGTGAGTTCTAGTCCCACCTTAGCCATAAAAGCCAGCTGGGTGATTTCAAGCCAATCACCAGGAGACGGTGAGTTCTAGTCCCGCCTTAGCCATAAAAGCCAGCTGGGAGACTTTGAGCCAATCACCAGGAGACGGTGAGTTCTAGTCCCGCCTTAGCCATAAAAGCCAGCTGGGAGACTTTGAGCCAATCACCAGGAGACGGTGAGTTCTAGTCCCACCTTAGCCATAAAAGCCAGCTGGGTGATTTCAAGCCAATCACCAGGAGACGGTGAGTTCTAGTCCCGCCTTAGCCATAAAAGCCAGCTGGGAGACTTTGAGCCAATCACCAGGAGACGGTGAGTTCTAGTCCCACCTTAGCCATAAAAGCCAGCTGGGTGATTTCAAGCCAATCACCAGGAGACGGTGAGTTCTAGTCCCGCCTTAGCCATAAAAGCCAGCTGGGAGACTTTGAGCCAATCACCAGGAGACGGTGAGTTCTAGTCCCACCTTAGCCATAAAAGCCAGCTGGGTGATTTCAAGCCAATCACCAGGAGACGGTGAGTTCTAGTCCCGCCTTAGCCATAAAAGCCAGCAGGGAGACTTTGAGCCAATCACCAGGAGACGGTGAGTTCTAGTCCCACTTTATGCATGAAAGCCAACTGGGTGATTATGGGCCAATAACCAGGCGACATGGAGTTCTAGTCCCGCCTTAGGCCTGAAAGATGGCTGGGTGATTTTGGGCCAGCCCCCCCCCTCTCTCTCAGCCCAACCCACCTCACAAGGTTGTAATAATCTTATATTATTATAAAAATAATAAAGGCAGCCTATTAAATAAATACCTAAATGAAAAAAAAATGCATAAATAAGAAGGGTTGGGCTCCAATCACAGGGTCGCAGCCACCATTTTGACTTTTTCGACCCGCACCCAGTTGCCCCTGATTTCCTAACCTGATAAACCAGGTTGAAATGTTAACCTTGGCTTGCTTTCAATTTTTTTCCCCCCGTGGATTAGCCCGCTGTGTCGATTTAGCTCCGTTTACAGTTCTGCACCCTGTTTTAAGTTAGTTTACGGTTAGTTTACAGTTCAACGCACTGTGTGAAAATGGATGAATTCCATCGCCAGACTCACAACATTGTAAGAACGCAGCCATCTGCAAAATTGACAAATCTGTCAGAAGTTGTTTATAGAAAATCAGAACGGAGAGATCCGGGATGGGGTTTCTTGGTGTGGTTGTGTATTTAAAACGGCGTCTGCGACATGTTCTCACTTTTTCTCGGACTCCTTAAATCTGCACTGGGGGGGGAGGTTCTCGACATTAGGAAATTTTAAGAGGGGTGGACTCCAACTCCCAGAATTCCCCAGCCAAGATGCATAGACTAAAATTCCCAAAATTCCCCAGCCAATATGCATAGACTAAAATTCCCAGAATTCCCCAGCCAAGATGCACAGACTAAAATTCCCAGAATTCCCCAGCCAGGATGCATAAACTAAAATTCCCAGAATTCCCCAGCCAGGATGTATAAACTAAAATTCCCAGAATTCCCCACCAGGATGCACAGACTAAAATTCCCAGAATTCCCCACCAAGATGCATAGACTAAAATTCCCAGAATTCCCCAGCCAGGATGCATAGACTAAAATTCCCAGAATTCCCCAGCCAAGATGCATAGACTAAAATTCCCAGAATTCCCCAGCCAGGATGCATAGACTAAAATTCCCAGAATTCCTCAGGTCACATGTCCCCCTCTTGTGACCTTTTGACAAGCAAAATCAATGGGGAAGCCAGATTCATTCAACAACCGTGTTGCTAACTGTTGAGATTCACTTAACAACCGTGTTGCTAAGTTAACAACTGTTGAGAATCACTTAACAACCATGTTGCTAACTTAACGACTGTTGAGATTCACTTAACAACCGTGTTGCTAACGACTGTTGAGATTCACTTAACAACCGTGTTGCTAACTGTTGAGATTCACTTAACAACCGTGTTGCTAACTTAACGACTGTTGCGATTCACTTAACAACCTTGTTGCTAAGTTAACGACTGTTGAGAATCACTTAACAACCATGTTGCTAACTTAACGACTGTTGAGATTCACTTAACAACCTTGTTGCTAAGTTAATGACTGTTGAGATTCACTTAACAACCGTGTTGCTAACTTATCAACTACAAAGATTTACTGAACAACGGTGGCAAAAAAAGGTGGTAAAATGGGGCAAAGCTCATTTAGCAAACGTCTTGCTTAACGACAGAAATGTCGGGCTCCATTGTGGTCGTGCGTTCGAGGGCTGCCTGCAAAGTCACCTTCTTGAGTGTTTCGTTCCTTGCCTGGCCTACCTTGCAGGGCTGTGAGTGTGTGGAGACTTCACTGTGTCCTTGTTTTTTTAGGTGTTTGCTGATTTGGGGCCTCCTTTGTGCCGTGCGGCTGTTCGGAGCAGACGCCGTCGAATTGAACGAGATGTTTGGACAAATCAGCTCTCCCGGTTACCCGGATTCTTATCCCAGCGATTCGGAAGTGACGTGGAATATCTCGGTGACGGAGGGTTTCCGCGTCAGTCTCTACTTCATGCATTTCGACCTGGAGCCGTCCTACCTTTGCGAATACGACTACTTGAAGGTGACCCCCCAAAAAATTTTCTTTTCTCTTCTTCGGTGCATGGAAAAATTGCGGAATTTTAGTTTATTAGATATATATTTCTGCTTTTCGTAACCATTCAAGGTGGTGTTTACAATGCCGCTGTTTCCTATTGTTTCCCTAGCACAACAGCCTTGCAAAGTGGGACGGGCTGAGAGAGAGAGGGAATGGTCCAATGTCACCCACTCAGCTTTCATGGCTAAAGCGGGACTAGAACTCCCAGTCTCCTGGTGATTGGCCCAAAGTCACCTAGCCGGCTTTCATGTCTAAGGCGGGACTAGAACTCCCAGTCTCCTGGTGATTGGGCTAAAGTCACCTAGCCGGCTTTCATATCTAAGGCGGGACTAGAACTCCCAGTCTCCTGGTGATTGGCCCAAAGTCACCCAGCCAGCTTTCATGCCTAAGGCGGGACTAGAACTCCCAGTCTCCTGATGATTGGCCCAAAGTCACCTAGCCGGCTTTCATGTCTAAGGCGGGACTAGAACTCCCAGTCTCCTGGTGATTGGGCTAAAGTCACCCAGCCAGCTTTCATGTCTAAGGCAGAACTAGAACTCACAGTCTCCTGGTGGTTGGCGAAAAGTCACCCAGCTGACTTTCATGCTTAAAGCAGGACTAGAACTCACCATCTCCTGATTGGCCCATAATCACCCAGTTGGCTTTCATGCTTAAAGCAGGGCTAGAACTCACCGTCTCCTGGTGATTGGCCCAAAGTCACCCAGCTGGCTTCCATGCCTAAAGAGGGATTAGAACTCAGTCTCCACGTGGTTGGCCCAAAGTCACCCACTTGCGATGACTCACTTAACAACCGGTATGCCTTACGACCATAATTCTGGACTCAATTCCGGTCGTAAATAAATTATGACTAAATTATTTCAATCTCCCAGTCCTACATGCTGTGTGAACCCAACCTAAAATATTGAATTTCATGAGCTGCATCAAGTCTGCAACGACATTCAGACAAGGTATTGATTTAGGGCAGAAAAATATCTTTGGCTGCCTTCACCAAACAAACTCGGTTAAACTGAGTTTTCAAACTGGGTTTTAAACTGGGTTTAAACTGGGTTTGTCTCTTCGTGGCTTAATCTGGGTGCAAATCCTGTTCTGGGGAGTTAATTTATAATTCCGGGTATTGCACCAATCTTATATCTGAGTTGTGTAGTAAAATCATCACTCGTTGTCTTTCGCCGGCCTGAATTTGCAGGGCAAATATTGTTTGTTTGTTTATTTATTTACATATTTATACAGTCCTCGACTTATGACAGTTCATTTAGTGGCCATTTGAAGTTACGACGGCACTGAAAAAAGTGACTTAGGACCATTTTTCACACTTATGACCGTTGCCACATCCTCGTGGCCACATGATTAGAATTCAGACGCTTGGCAACTGACTCAGCTTTATGACGTGATCCGCTTTTGCGACCGTCTGATAAATGAAGTCAACAAGGGAAGCCAGATTCACTTAACAACCGAGTTACTAACGTCACAACCGCAGTGATTCACTGAACAAGTTTTGGCAAAGTAAGGTCAAAAAACGGGACAAGACTCACTTAGCAACGGTCTCGCTTAGCAACGGAAGTTTTGGGCTCGAATGTAGTCATAAATCGAGGACTGCCTGTAAATTTGCTCTGAAGATCCGTTCTCACAACTTTTTATGGTATGTTAGTTAGGTATTTTATGGCTTTAGTTGTTACACAGGCCAGCTGTTTGGGGTTGAGTAGGAATGATGTATTAATCAAATCCAGAAAGTAACCAGGTTCATTAACCAGGTTCAGTTTATGTTTTATTTATTTATTTATTTATTATTCGAATTTCTATACCGCCCTTCTCCTTTCGGACTCAGGGCGGTGAACAGCCAAAATAAAAACATTTATACATAAATACGATTAAAAATAGATTTAAAATAATTAAATTTGGCCCATAGTTTAAAATTTATCAATTTAAAATCCATATCAAAATTTAAAACCAACCATAAAATCATAAAATCAAGAGAGACCGGCTAACTGAAAGAGATGAGTTTTTAGGGCCCGACGAAAGGTCCGGAGGTCGGAGATCACTCGTATCTCTGGGGGTAGATTGTTCCAAAGGGTAGGTGCCACCACAGAGAAGGCTCTCCTCCTGGGGGTCGCCAGCCGGCATTGTCTAGCCGACGGCACCCTGAGGAGGCCCTCTCTGTGGGAGCGAACTGGCCGGTGGGAGGTAATTGGTGGCAGAAGGCGGTCCCGTAAGTACCCGGCCCTAAGCCATGGAGCGCTTTAAAGGTGGTCACCAACACCTTGAAGCGCACCCGGAAGTCCACCGGAAGCCAATGCAGCTCGCGCAGGAGAGGAGTCACATGGGAGCGCCCAGTCGCTCCCATAATCCCCCGCGCGGGCCGCATTCTGCACCAGTTGGAGCCTCCGGGTGCACCCCAAGGGGAGCCCCATGTAGAGAGCGTTACAATAGTCCAGACGAGAAGTGACGAGTGCTTGAGTGACTGTGCGTAGGGAGTCCCGATCCAGAAAGGGGCGCAACTGGCGTATCAGGCGAACCTGATAAAAAGCCCCCCTGGCCACGGCCGTCAGATGCCCTTCTAAGGACAGCCGTGCATCCAGGAGGACGCCCAAGTTGCGGGCCCTTTCCGTGGGGGCCAATGATTCACCCCCAATAACCAGCGATGGCGTCAGCTGGCTATACCAGGACGCCGGCAGCCACAGCCACAGCCACTCGGTCTTGGAAGGGTTGAGTCGGAGCCTGTTTCTCCCCATCCAGAACCGCACGGCCTCCAGGCACTGGGACATCACTTCCAAGGCATCGTTGGGATGGTCTGGGGTGGAGATGTACAGCTGAGTATCATCAGCGTACTGATGGAACTCCACCCCAAAACCACGGATGATCTCACCCAGCGGCTTCACATAAATGTTGAACAGGAGGGGCGAGAGAACCGACCCTTGTGGCACCCCACAAACAAGGCGCCTCGGGGTCGACCGCTGCCCCCCTGTCAACACGGATTGCGACCGGTCGGAGAGATAGGAGGAGAACCACCGCAAAACGGTGCCCCCCACTCCCAGTCCCTCCAGCCGGCGCAACATGATACCATGGTCAATGGTATCAAAAGCCGCTGAGAGGTCTAACAGGACCAGGATAGAGGAGTAACCCCTATCCCGAGCCCTCCAGAGATCATCCACCAACGCGACCAATGCCGTTTCCGTGCTGAAACCGGACTGGAGCGGATCCAAATAGACAGCTTCATCCAGGTACTGTGGAAGCTGTCGCGCCACCACACTCTCAACAACCTTCGCAATAAAGCGAAGGTTGGAGACTGGACGATAGTTAGCCAAAACAGCCGGATCCAGGGATGGCTTCTTGAGAAGAGGCCTCACCACCGCCTCTTTCAAGGCGGCCGGCAGGACACCATGTTGTGTGAATGCAGCCGTTTTCATTATATGAACTCTTCCTAGCTTGGATGGCATCCTTTCTACATTATCTCTTTAGTATGTTTTCTCAGTTGCACAATTCTGCTAAAAGTGACAATTATCTTTTTTTATATACAAAGTTTTTTATTTTTTTTCTTTTAAAACAAACGTTACATCATTAATCAATCAGGGTACAAATTTTTGTGTCATCATATTTAACGCTTACCATCATTTTCTTCATATATACATTTCTTTGCTTTTACATTTCAATTTAACATATCTCCTATTAAAACATTTTTCTTCCCAATTTATTTAATTTGATACCACTTTTTATCCAGATTCATTTTCTATCCAATCATAATAAAATTGCCCCCATATGTTATATAGTTCTCCGATTCTTCCTTCCCTTTAATTGCCAATGTTAAATCTATTCATTTCTGCACATTCTAATATTTTCTTAATTACCTCTCCCTTTTTTTTTTTCCGCTTTCCAATTTTGTGCAAATACAATTCTCGCTGCAGTTATGGATAATCAAATATACATTTTTCTTTACTAAATTTCTCAGAAAAAATACCCAACGAAAACAACAGCTCTGGTTTTAAATCAACATGCTGCTGAATCATCAAAAATGACAATTATCTGTTGTTGCTTAGCATGAATGTGCCTTCTTAATCAGACCTCTGAATTGTGATTAACAACACAAAACAACCTTTGTTCCTTCAATTCGAGTTTGGACATTAACTTGGGCTGGTTCGGGGTGCAGATCAAAGGTTGCTGATTCCTAAATCTAGTTTCACTATCTTGTCTCCAGAAATATATATATATGCATATTCTTTCTAGCCAGGTTTTACCTACGTAAACTTAGTTGTTCTACAGCCCTAGGTTTACGAACAACTAAGTTTACGTAGGTAAAACCTGGCTAGAAAGAATATGCACATAAAAGCCTACGAAAAAGGAAAAAAGATATATATATATATATATATGTCTTTTTTCCTTTTTCGTAGGCTTTTATGTGCATATTCTTTCTAGCCAGGTTTACGTAGGTGAAACCTGGCTAGAAAGAATATGCACACACACACACACACATATATATATATATGTATGTATGTATGTATGTATGTATGTGTATATATATATATATATATATATATGGTGCTTTGTCTGTCAGATATACTGCCTTTGAACATGGGGTCTCTAAATCGTATTTTGCAACGCCATTTGAATTCAACTGAGCTGGTTTAGTTAGGTATCTGCTGTACGCAATTCCTAAATAGTGAATTAGTAATTTATGAGCCAAGAAGGGTTGACTTTTTGAACAAAGATTAACTTTTCAAAAAGAACTGACACAGAGATAAGAAAACGGGGGTGGGTGGGTGGGTCAGAAAAGTCAAAATGGCTGCCCTGTGATCAAAGCCCCACCTCTTTTTAAGTGCAACTTACAAAAGTCGCACAAACTTTCGACAGTCACACAAACTGAGATTTCGCAGCGTAGTTTGACTAGTTTGTGGTTCAACGTCTTTTCAAAAACTAACAACACAGGTAGTTCATGTTTAGTGACCATTTAAAGTTACACAAACCACAACCATCAA